GTTAATGCAGCCCAGCACTGTTTTGGCTTTTTTGGCAGCTGCAGCACACTGCTGGCTCATATTTAAGTGATTGTCCACTAGGACTCCAAGATTTGTCTCACAGTTGCTACTATTGAGCAAGGTACCCCCTATACTATACCCGTGCATTTGGTTTTTCTTGCCTAAATGTAGAGCCTTACTTTTTTCACCACTGAATTTCATTCAGCTGTATTCGCATACAGTTATCTAAAAATAAGTCCTAAATCAATTTATTTAATACAATTTATTTCCGAATTATTATTTTTTAAATTATAGTGTTTACTGCCTGCCATTACCATATTATATGGTAACCAAGGTCTTATCTGCCAAACTTGGTAAACAGGTGAGTCATTCTGGGAACCCTGACCTGTGTCTAGAAGAAGAAGGTGTTCTCCTCCTCCTTGAGCGCGATCTGGATCTGGAATGCCTTCTTTTATCATCCTTTTTATCTGAAATCAGAACATAAGAAATGTCAATTACAGGACAATTAGCAGAAATTAGGTGAACACTTTTAAAGTTATTTTTTAAAAACATAAACTGTAACCAAAGGAGTTTTTATGTCTCAAAAGCAGCTTTCTGCTATTTCTATCAATTGTGTTAAGGGTCAAATGCATATTTCAGGTTAACTACAAACATAACAATTCATATTCCTATAGATAAATAGATTCGGGATGTATTATATAAAATGAAATATTGATTAGGATAACATCTAAACAAGCCTAAGAACAAATATAAAAGGGGTTCTTTGGTTCAGATCAAAAATAATTCCAGCATCTCATTTCCAATGGCACCCATCAATATGCTCCTGGAAAGCCCACAATTGCTGTATTTTTCAGCAACTGATATCAAAAGACTTACTGGTTATGATTCTTAAGCAGATGTCCTTCCCAAAGTTTACTTATATCTGACTTTTTACTGATATTTCATACAATGCATTGTTTTTCCTGAACCTGAACCAAGGGGTATTACAGCAATTTTCTGGAAGACAAAATTGCTTAGGAGACATTTTATATTGCTTTACCTGGCTCTATAGCAGCAGAAATCAGGGATTGTGCTTCTCGTACACGTTTCATGGCTTCTTCTATTTCTTTACTGGAGGTATCTGTTTTCAGACTTGGTGAAACAAGGCCTGCAGCTACATGATTCAGCCTGAATCAAATAAAAGAAAAAAAAACCACACACAAATTAAATTGTAAGATCATTTAAACCAGAATATACACATAACTTGTTATCTATTAGAAAAATAATCACAACAATCTCCTTTAGTAAGGCATTCAGTGAAAAAGACTGTTGATCGCTGACAATGGCATTTTGAGGTATGGTGCTAGGAATTTTTATTAATTATTTTATTGTTTTATTTATTTATGTCTAGAATCAGTTGAATCCACTGGCACATACATTTTCATGAATAAATGAAAGCATGTGTTAGCTGTTAATTTCAGGACTAGGCGAACTTATTTAAAACTGAATTTGAAAAATTAGCACTTGAATTTGCTTGCCGTTTTCATTTTTTTTTTTTGCTTAGTGTATCCTTTTTATTAGATAATCTCACTGCCTAGAACAGGGGTAGCTCAGGAATTCTGGGAGTTGAAGTCCACGAGTCATAAAAGAGCCAAGGTTGCCTACCCCTGGCCTAGAATGTTCTTGTTCTTTAATATGCAGTATTTAGATATTTATTTTTTCCATGAATTTACTCGAAATTAATAGGGATCCTCCAGCTTCTTCTCTTTAAGTACAGGTGGTCGACTTACAACCGTTCATTTAGCGTTCGTTCAAAGTTACAACAGCACTGAAAAAAGTGACCTATGACCGTTTTTCATAGTTATGACCTTTGCAGCATCTGCAGGATCATGTGATCAAAATCCAGATGTTTGGCAACTGGTTCATATTTATGACCGTTGCTGTGTCCTAAGGTCATATGATCACCTTTTGCGACCTGACAAGCAAAGCCAATGGGGAACCCAGATTCACTTAAGAACTGGGCTACTAATTTATCAACTGCAGTGATTCACTTAACAACTGCGGCAAGAAAGGTTGTGCTCAATTGTGATTGTTAAGTTGAGGACTAGAACTAGAAATCACTGGACATCACATTTCAAGAGTAGAAGGATTGGGAAGAATATTCTAGTCCAGGCAATTTCCTCAACTGCACATATAAAAAAGGAAAAGCAAAGATCAATGGCTTTGTTCTCTTTTGCAATAAACTCCCTAACTGGAACATCCAGGACTAATCTGGGATTAGTTTGTAACAGATGCATAAATTGTTTTCTGTTAATCTGTAAAAATAATTTGTTATCTCTTGTTGCTTTAGGATTTAACATGGGTACGCACCCTGCAAAATGCCTGTTATTGCCAGGAAAATTAATTGCATTCTCCTGCAGATTTTTTTTAGTTGTTTTTGTACTGTTGTTCGGTATGTGGTAGTTTTGTTGTATTTTTGTTTTTAACAGTTTATGCTATTCACCGTCACATATATCAGATCAGAGGCTATATAAATTTACTAAATAAATACATTTGAAGTCCTGTCGCTAGTGTTTCTACACTTTTATAAATTTCAACAAGCTGAATCTTCTCATGCATATACAATTATAAGTAGAAAGGCCAACTCTTGTAATACCACCAAAGTCTTGGTAATTTTAATCTACATTTTGAATTTTTATTGAACTTTTATTTACATGTGAAATTTCACAGCTGAGACCTAATCAAACAATACAAATAAGATTAAAATGCCAGGACACATATAAACAATTGGCAGTACAAGCCTACAATTGCAGCACTTAATTCAACTATAGTTTGAAAATATTCTTAATTAATGGACCTTATAAAATCGACATCTTCCAAAATTCCCACTTCTCAACTGTTTATTTGCCATCCCTACAATCAGTAAATTAGAATTGCACTACCAAGGAGAGGAAAACATCTTACTACTTATGAAATGTTGTCCCATAATTCAAAGGGCAAATAAAATTATAGCGTGCATCCAGGGATAAATGCTGCTTAGAAGATCCGAGGGTGCTGTCTCAGCATTTGCCCATTTCCTCTTCTTAGGAAATTAAGGAAGCCAATTAAGCATGTTAAAATAGTCTTCACAGCGCCATTTCGTTTTTAACTACAGCAAAAGTGGAAGAGCAGCACAAAAGAACTGCTTGCCCAAGTCCAGGTACTTACAAGCAGTCCTCGGCTTACACCTATTTATTTAGTGATTATTTGAAGTTACAACGGCATTGAAAACCGTGACTTGTGACTGTTTCTTATACTTACGATTACAGCATTCCCATGGTCATGTGATCAAAACTTGGACGCTTGGCAACTGGCATGTATTTATGACAGCTGCAGTGTCCCAGGGTTACATGATCAGATGCACTGACCTCCTGACAAGCAAAGTCAATGAGGAAGGCAGAGTCACTTAACCTTTGTGTTACTAACTGAACAACTGGAGCGATTCACTTAACACCTGTGGTGTCAAAGGTCACGAAATGGAACAAAATTCACGTAACAAGTGCCTTGCTTAGTGACCGAAATTTGTTGTCATGAGTCAAGGACTACCTGTATCATGCAAGCCTGGGGAAAAGTCCTGCTTCTTATTCCCCCAAAAGGCATTACTTTCAACGATTCCCTACAAATGGTTTCCTTTTAATCCTTTCCTCCTCTTTCTCAAAACCAATTGCGCTATAGTGCAATTCTAAAAGTCCATACTTACTTTGGATCCACTGTGCTCATAAGTTTTAATAGTTGATCTGCTGCAAGAGACTACAAGGAAAAATAATAAAAAATGCTTTTTATATAAATATTTTTTTTTGGGGGGGGGGAAATTACATTCAAACGGCTTTAAATCTAGCCAAAATTAAATAATACAAGTTACCACAAGTCTCAGAGCATATGTATTAGCTTGGTGTACATTTAAATTCTTTGAGAATACTACTGTATACATAGATCCAAGCTATTTTTTTATTTCTGATAACTAGTTAGTTATTCATGTCGATATTTGCAAGGTTTTATATTTAATTTTAAACAAGAGTCCTCAATTATTTGAGGTTTCTGCAATTGGAGGAGGAGTTGTCCATTTACAAAATGGCTGCAATGAGAAATATATCCAGAATCTAAGAGTCAATAGACAAATACAATTAAGACTGCATTTGAGTCAGAACTGTTATATACCTTTTTCAGTTATAACAATGGTATTAGCCAAGTGTGAACTCTAATATTGTTGTTAAAGAACTTCTAAAGAGTTTGAGTTCTCATTATACAATATATTGATGGCATGAAATATTACCATTGTCCAACAATTCACCAAAATCTGTTCCAGATGAATCCCTAACCCTCTGAATCAGATTTGAGAGATATGGGAGGATGCTGAAGGAGTATATTTTCCTATGTTGTTCATTATTATTATCTTAAACTGATAAAGCAAAATAATACAAAAAGAAAAGCCCAATTTGTGGCTAATTGTAGTGCAGTGTTTTTCAAAAACACGTAAATATTTCACTATGAGAGAAAGTTCTCTCTACACTGAACTTTAGCTGATTGGCTTTCCTCCAATACTATTCTAATCTGATACTGGTTCAGCACATAAATTGCTCTAACGGAGTTAAATACACAATTGTACATCACAATCTTCCAATACTCAGATGAATTCACTTGTTTCTTGTTGATGTGGAAAACCAGAGTCAACAAAAATAATCCTATGGAATTCCACAGTAAAAATTCCATGAGCCTGGAACTGCATAAATGTTAAAACTGACGATTTTCCAGAGACAGGCTTATACTTAAAAGCAATATACCTGAGAGTTTAAGTTTGCCCCAGGAAGACCTAGAGCAGCTAGAGTTGGATCTAGAGTTGGAGCTCCTAAAGCAGCCAGAGGAACAGCACCGATCTGTAAGAATGAAAATATGTACAATCTATGCATTTTTCGTAAGGAAAGAACCAATACAGCACATTCTAATTGTTCTACCATTTTCCAAATCTCTGGAAAACAGGAACAACTTGTAAGTTTTTAAAGTTCTGAAGTACTGACGTTGATTATTATATTAACTTTAATGTAGGTAGCTGTTTTATATCAAATCAGATTATTCATCTAATTGGGTATCAGCGCCTGTGAATCCAATGCAGAGACCTCCTATCTTCCTTTAGCTATCAAGTCCATCCCAACTGGAAGTTCTGGTGACTAAACATGGGATGCTTGGCCAAATGATGTCCCCTTAGGTTGAACAGTTGCCCTAATGGCTACAGTAGCAATTGGTCATAGTAATCCAATTTTCATGCAAGAATATTTATCATCACTTGCTGATTTTTAAAAACAAATATTGAAGATAAAGTGAACGTGGACTTGTTCACGCAAGTAGGAAATATGAATTAGCCATTTTTAATTTCCTCTTAATTTTTACAATATGCACCCAAATTAAACCTCCAAAAGTCCAGTGAATGACATAGTAGTTAGATTTTCAAAACTATTTCATTTATACTAAACTAGCTGCATCTCAGAAGAAGCATTTCTCTTCTCTCTTCTAAACTGGCAGTCTCCACTCTCTGAATGGCAGGAAACAAAAAAAAGGAATTAGAAGCAAGAAGGTATTTCACAAGATCTGCATGCTTCTTCTAGTCTCTGACTTACCCACTGTGAATTTGTAAATTTGGCTTATCTTTAATTTTGCAACTATGTAGACCATTTAAGAGAAATTCACATCCTTGCTACAAGTAGTGTTTCCCACTTGTAACCCAGTGTTCTCTTAAACTATATTTCTGGATATTGGAAAGGAAGAATAATACTCTCATTGTCTTCTATACGGTTCTTTATTCATTTTAGAATCTCGATCCAAGGTCCTCACTTCTGGTTCTAAGGCAAACATCTTAGGCTACAATAGACGTAAACTTTCTAGAAAGTTAGCCACACCAAACTCAAGATGATAGACATTACTCTAAAAAGATTGCACTCTGGAAATCCCAAGAAAGCCCCTTTCTAAAAACTACAAACAACTCCCTCCTTTGTGATTTTACAGGGGGGAGCAGTGAGTAACCGAGACATGGTTTTTAAATAATTTGACTGCTATAAAGCATTTTCATTAAAAAAAAATTTTTTTTAAGAGAGGGTCATAGAAACCAGATAAGACATATAAGCACGGCAAGTATTATGCTGTATGAAAACATAGCAATTCTTTTTGCCACTTGCACCGGGCTCATCCCTAGCTATAGAAATGGCTGAATGTCATTTCTGGTCATAACCTTCCATATGTTTTCATTTCAGATGTTGCTTTATGGATCGAAGAAGAAAAGGAAACTCTTTTAAAAAAGTAGCAGTGAATTAGATGTCAACCCAGTGAATTAAAAGGAAGAATGGGATTCAGTCTAGGAAATCAGTTATAAACTATGGGGGCAATTCTTATTCGTTATAATTCTGCAACCAATACTATAATAACTTTGAATAAGCATGCCTCCCAGAAACAAAGGAACATAAATAATATAATTTTGCTGTATTTTATGCACCCTGTACTTCTTACCTGAGAAAGCGGGTTAGGTGTAGGCAGGAGTCCACCCCCCGGCAGAAGGCCTGCCACAGCATTAGCTGGTGCCAGGAGAGATAAAGCCTTAGTCTCATCAGGAATAACTCCTGCAGAGAGACAACTTTGCATTAGAAGTTACCCCCCAATTTATCTTTTTTTTTCTTTTAAAAACAAAAAACAAAAAACCACACACAAATACACCCAGAAAATGTCTCCCTGAAACACCATCTGAGTTTGCTGAAAGTACTTATGTTGGCTATAATACAATGTTTGCTCTCTTAATAATTTATCATTAACTTGTTTGTCAGAATGAAACTTCAATGTGTGAAAATTTGTTCCTTTTTCTCTACAAAAGGTTAAGTTCTAGAATAAAAAATAGCACAATACACACTACTTTTTTGTTAACACTGCCAAGATTTCATCACCTGTACTCGATTTTTAAGTCATGAACCAAACGTAAGCAAGCACAGTCGGTTCTCCAGGGGTGTGCTCTCAACTTTCAAAAGCTGTTTTATGAACAACGACTCGTGTCGGCTGCTTCACTATAAAGCACACAGAAAAATCAAGATACACAAGACAAAAAAAGTTTGATTTAGGGGTTAATAATATGGCACAGTTCACTATGATTTCTTTTACACCTACCATACAATTTTGTAAAACTTAAAGAGAAGGTAAGAAAAAGTGTAGGGCTTTTGCTGACTTCTCATTTGGATATGAAGGTCTCCACAAAGGTCCAAATGTAGGTTCTGCATATGTGTCCGCGTGTATGTGTTTATGTAAACACCTAAAATGTGACACATTCTTACCTGTGCAGTAAAATACATGCTCCACTCTGTGTTATGGTTACTGTACCAAGAATGCTGCTGAGTATTGCCCTTTCAGAATAAACTTCTGATTTGCAGCTTGTAGTCTGCTAAGTGTCTATTTTTATTGCCTATCCCTGAACAAAGAATAACCTTCAAAAGGCCCAACGTGAGACAAACAGTAAATGTTGATTGTTGTTATTTTAACCAACAGCAAAAGCCCTATACATATGGATTAATCTGTTAATGTGCCCAAGCCCCCAACGTGAGAGAGTTCAATAAGACAACTGTACTATATATTTGCAAATACCAGAACCGTTTCTGCAAGACATATTAAAAAAAACTGCATCTCATCATAAAACATACAATATGTACAGGGCACTTAAGAGAAACTGGATAAGCTGCAGAAGAAAACTGTTGGGTGGTATTTTCAGCAGGGCCTGGTATATAGTTCAGGCTGAACCAGGGAAAAGAACTGTAAAACACAACAACAAAAAAGAAAAACCACTGTTAAATAAAGGTAATGGTTCCTTCCACCTATACTGAGAAGTGCCGATAATATAAACAAATGTATAATACACAGCACTGTTATCTTTCTTCTGTCACTGAGCTGTCATAATTTCAATACCAAAAGTTATGGTGGGAAAAGGGGGGGGAAAGGTCATTTAGATACAGGGCATTAATGCATCAATATAAACATATCTACTGAGATTATGGGATAAATTTGCATGCAAATTATGTCTCAAGAGGATATTATTTATGTTTACACACAATTAGTGCAACTATAACATTTCTGGCATCTAGCTAAAAATTCTCTTGAGACACCTCACAGAAGATCTGCATCCATTAAGTAGTCATGCATCTGATCCTCTCGTTTTTAGGAAAAAAGTTATTCAGAAATAAAACTACAATTTAAAAAAAACAATGAGGCCCCTCACCAGTTAATTTTCATGCGTCAAGAGTTTTTTACTGCTGCTTTGTTAGAACCATGACATACTGCATGAATGTGTAGAAATGAAGAAAAAGAAACAGACAAAAGAAACAAACATTAACCAAAGAACCTACATAAACCCACCCAAAGTCACTGTTTTAATATCTACATTGCTTCCAAACCTTCCATTTCATCACAAAGATTATAGTACTATGCCTTACCGTGAACTTTGTGTTAAGTCTAGAACACAAAGCAACAATCAACACCAAGATGTATGTAACACACCAAAAACAGAAATGCGACTTGATACTAGGGAATATGATCAGTACAATGCATACTTTAATATTTGTAGAGAGGTAATATGTATCGCCACAGTAGCAAAGGGTAAAGATTTCAATTCAGCAGAGTGCTTAAGCATGTGCCTCAATGCAACTGAATAGTTTCACTGATCTTGAAATGTTTTTTTCCCCTCAGCAATGCTTAAGCACTAGCAAAAATGGGGCCTTGTGAAAAGAAGAATTGAAGAGTTGATACCCATATTCTTTCACAGATAAGGAAGATTTGCGAGAACAGAGCAGACGAAGTTCATAGGAAAATCCATGGGTCCATTATTCTGATAAACCACTGTGCCCAGAATTGTCATATCCTGCCAACTACAAAATGGTGCAGATCCTAAAAACCCAATGAGTTCTTGATAGGTAACAACTGCTCAAATTGCATTAAACAAGCCTCAGAAAAATTCAGAAAAGTCATCTTTTTTTGACCGATATCGCAGTGAGAGATTTATCAGTCATCTTATCTTTCTAGCAGAGTTTAAAGTCATGTTTAGAGAGAGAGAGAAAAAATATTACGTATAAAAACCATTCAAGCTCTTAAGAGAGATACTATTCTTAAACACTAACTTGCAAATATTTTGGAGACTATTGGTTCAGTTAATTAGAGCCAAGGTGAACACGACAGCGTGTGTTCCTTCCCCAATCACAATAAAAAGGTCTATATCCATGTTTAGTAATAAAAGGAATACAAAGAGGCACGGGCCCTGAAACCTACCCCAGCCTGCTGCTTATTTCACCACAGTAGCTTTCTGCGGGTGCTGGCACAGTTGCAGCACTGGAACTCAGATAAAGAAAAAACAAAGGAAGACAGACTGCAAGGAGGTTAAATTGCAGGCACAGGAAGGCGGCTATACACTTCACCCACGTGCCCCCTTTTGCTCTAAAAAGCAGCATCCCACCCTTCCTCTTTCTACGAAATCCATATTTAAAAACACAGCTACTGTCGCATCTAGCTTGGCCCTAATACAGACAGCAAATATGTAAGACTCAGACACAGATGTATCTGACATTGTCAGAATTATATGTAAGAAGCAATACTTTAAAGTATTCTATTCAGCCACGTTAAACCAATGAGGGTTAAACTTTGTGGATCTTAATTATAGTTTCAGTTTGGAATATCCTAACATTAATTAATCAATCAGACCTGCCTGTGGCATATTCTTCTGCCTTGTTAATGAGTAAAACGAGATACTATATATAAAACATAAGATTACATTCCAGCACAATTAGTCTGCGTAAATCCGTTGATTTTAATGAGATGTAGTAATCTCTGTATGCAGAAGTGCAGCTTAAGCGTTTACTGTAATCTCGTGGTATAAAATGAGTGCTAGTTTATCAGTTAACAGTGCCTTTGAAAGAGCTGTGCTGCAATCTATAGTGGTTCAACAGAGCTCATTAGAAGAGCAGTCTTCTTGGCAGTTTTAGTTATATTTCCAACCTGCTCATTGTTTTTCAAATTACTGTAACACCCTAAAAATGTAAGAAAAAGAAGAGAAAAAATGTTGTTAACAAGTGAGTGATTTACACCGGGAAAACACTTGGGGACTTGAGTGCTTGCTGGCCTTTAGTTAATGTCTAGAATCCCCTGTAGCTGCAGAGGACCCCACTGTTTCAGTCATCTGGAAGGGCTTTTGCATTTGCCTTCTCCACTATAAAAATCACACACACAAATAAGAGAGAAGAGTTTATTATTTTAGAGAAATTCTAGAATATATAGCAAGGTTGAATAAGAAAATGTGGAATAAGATCTAATACCCAGTGCCCATTTAGCACCTTTGCAGATATTTTCTGACTAACAAGAGATATCAAACCCTTGGTGTACCAGAATTTATGTTGAGGGTAACTGCTTTTCAATTGTCAACTAAAACAGGCAGAACATTGCCTTGTAACTGATGATATGTATTCCCTAACTCTCCACGAGGGAGAATGAACCATGAGATAACAGATGCCAGACAACTTAAAGCAACATTGCTTGTTTATATATTTCATTTAAAAAAGATAGCTTAAAAAATTATTGAGGCAGTCTGGTGAAAATAAATCAAATAATGCTGCATGAATATAAAATTATTCTAAAAGCCTTTGCAAAAACGGATGGGCAAGCTCCAGAAAGTGCTGAATTAGTATTTTCTGTCTGTTGTAAAGAAATCAAAGATGAGGGTATACCAAGGGTTTTAAAAATGCAAAAAGCTTGGATGTTTTATATGCTAAACTTTATGCTATTCAACTACATCAGGATTTAATATCAGAGGTCTATGGCTTCATAGATCTTTAAACAATTCACAAACCTTCTGCGTAGGGTACGACTATCAATGCTCGGTCAACGAATACAGTATTTGTCAGGTGCTGAGCCACAACTGCCGAGTCAGGTTCTTGGAACTTTACAAAACACACACGGGAAGAAACAGGCAAAGGGGAGTCACTGGAAAAAAAATCAGAATATGAACATCAGATGTAACATGAACAAAGGTTAAGACATTATTTGACTTATGGGACTATATAAAAAAGTATTGGGCATGGACCTCAGAGTTTTTCCAAAAATGCTTACTGTTTTTAATGTTATAGAACAGGGAAAATGATTAAATGCATGGCTGGAGAAGAATCAGATTTATACTTTATTTCAATTAAACTTAAATAAGTATAAATAATATTAATATTCATGTACCCTTTCAAAATTACGAAGAGGGCAACCCTTGAGTTGTTCACTCAGACATACACTTGGTTCTTACTATGTGTATTTAAGATTTAATCTAAAACTGAAAACTGGGAAGATGTAACCGACATTCTTGATAGGATGTCACAGGCAATAGATAATAACTTGAATTTTTCCTCCTTGAGAGAAAAATCTTCCCTCAGGGCAATATATCATTTCTCTCTTAAAGAAATACATGCAAAGTGCATTGTATACACTTCATATTAATGATGGTAAGTACTTTACTTTTCCAGTGACAAAAAACATATCTACTACCGGTAGTTCAGAGCTAAACTGTAGGGTTCTGGTTATTTTCTGCTCTGTTATCTAGCCTGGCTGGGGAATGGCTACAGGAAAACCATCAAGCTCAGACAACACCAAGAACCCACCAAAGGTTTAACTTTGCACCAAATAAAAGATTAAGTGAAGTAGCATGATTATGGTGTTGGATCAGAGTTGAGAAGAACCAGATGCTAATTCATCATTAGCCACAGAACCTCATCAGGCACTTTGGGTCACACACACTCTCAGTCCAATCTATCACTTGGGAGATTTTTTTCCCTGAGAAAAATAGGACAGAATATAATATGAACTATCTTAAACTGCTGAATTAAAAAAGAGCTATAAATCAAATAAACAAAATGATCCAGATTTGTAGCTATATCCATAAAGTAAACGCCCAGGCAGAATCATGTCACTTATGGTGGGAAATCAACAACCAATCCTCTTCCAGGGAAAAATGTTTTTACTTCCCAACTTGTTATTTCAGGGTAATTAGTATAACTTAACATTATATTAGGGCCAAGTTATGCTTGTACTGATGCTATGCAGACATTTTCTGAGATGTAACCCTGTAATAGTTGGGTGGCTTCCATATTTCAATAATATCCCATAATTACATTTTGCAGGGCTTCTTTTCCTTTTTCATGCAGAAAATCTGAATTTGTAGAAAGGTCCCTTCTTTCCTGTTGTGTTTTGGGCATACTGTGACTATCTGTGGAAGCATCTTTTTCCTAACCTGGACCCCCTCCCCTAAAAGTATGCTTCACCATAAAACCCAATGTATGCTATATTTTACTGGCTAGGGATCATGGGAATTGCAGTCCCATTGATCTAGAGCAGTGTTTCTCAACCTTGACAATTTTAAGGCATGTGGACTTCAACTCCCAGAATTCCACAGCCAGCAATGCTGGCTGTGGAATTCTGGGAGTTGAAGTCCACATGCCTTAAAATTGTCAAGGTTGAGAAACACTGCTCTAGAGGCCACCAGATTGTTAGCAGCCATTCTAGAATATGCTTTCAGATTATATGGGACACAGGCCAAGCCTGCTGCCTTTTCTTATTGCCAGAAGTAAATGGAGTCAGATTCTTGGAACTTTACTGAAGGCCAGCATCTTCCTCTCTCAATGGAAGAGGGAAGGCAAGAAAGATGGTGGGAAGATAGGTGGGGGCCATGGCAGATGTCATGCAGGGACATGCTTAGCTGAGGCAAGAAGAGACAAGTAACAAGAAAATTGGGGAGTGGTTGGGCCAGTAGGTTATATGTTGCCTTGGCATCTACTTGAGATGTAGCAATTTGGCCTCCTCACACTATTTGGATTTTGTTCTGTCTGAAACCTGAACAAACAAAAACGTTTTGGTTATTTCACTGATCTGTGGCCGACCTCAACAGTTCAGCATTACTTCTATTACAGTAATCTACCACAGTGGTGGTCTCTGATGAGCTTGGTTGTTTTCTTGCAGATGTTGCATTAACCAAACTAGGTAACATCATCACTGCTAGGATTTCAACCCTGAGCTACAAATATTCTCCTTTATTGGTACTATAGGAATCTGTTCTGGATTTATAATAAAACTATGTTCCTGTTTTGACCCCCGCCAGCTCTCTTTCAGACACCACAGCACAAGTTCCCAAATATACTCCCAACGAAGGAGGGGAACATTTTTTTTACACTGGTTACTTCTTATGGCTCTTATCAATTCAAAATCCAAATCATGGGTTATACTGCCTAGTGTGGAATCAACAAGACCACATCCCAAGGGTCTGGGCTTATCCTTACGCCCCAAACACTCATCGAAACATAACATTAGACACTTTTACCTGAAAATTACAAAAACTACAAATGCTAATATGGCTGCCAAAAAAAAAACAAAATCGAAAAGAAAAATCAACTTTGTGTTATATGTCACTGGCAACAGGAAACAACCTGGATTAAACCATAGCTTAACTCTTTCGCCTCTTACAACAGAAGTTTCACCCCCCCCCCCACGCAATACAGCACTTTTCCTCAGTGTTTCTCAACCTTGACAATTTTAAGGCCTGTGGACTTCAACTCCCAGAATTCCACAGCCAGCATTGCTGGCTGTGGAATTCTGGGAGTTGAAGTCCACAGGCCTTAAAATTGTCAAGGTTGAGAAACACTGTCCTTTATAAAACCAATCCACCCCACAACGTGGCTCTGCCACGGAAGCTGGCCAAGCGCGTCCCGAACAGCATTTGAAAATGCCTAATCCCCTAACTAACACACAAATACGTGTTGCGTTCAAAATCGTCTTATCAGCGCCCCCCGCCGGTCTTTTTTTTCCGCCGCCTGCCTTTCCCCCCCCCCCCCGGGTTTCGAAAGCAGGCGAGGGCGGCGAGCCAAAGAAAGGGCGCCCCAGCGCCGGAAACTCAAGATGGAGCGGGGGATGGCGCGGAAGGGACCGCGTGATCCGCTTTAGCGGCAACCACCGCGGCCAGCTTGTCTATTTCTGCGCTGTCCTCCGGGCCCTCATCCTCGCGCGGCCCCACCCCGGCCGATCGGGGCCTAAGAAGACTCGAGCAATGGCTTCAATGAGGCCGCGGCCTTTAAAAACCGACCGCCGTCTCTCGAGGAGAAGCGGAACTTACTCGGGAGGGAAGAGGCGCAACTCTTCGATCTTCCCCAGGAAGCCGAAGAGAGTCCGCATCTGTTCCGAGCTGGCGCTCGGGGAGACATTGGTGACCTGAATCACATCGGTGCCGCTGCTTGAAGCCATCGCGCTGCCTCCTGGTCCGGCACTTACAAACGCATCGAGAGCAGAGGGGGTTAAGGGCCCTGGGGGATCGGGAGAACGCCTCCTTCGTATGTCCCTCGGCGCTTCCCGTCACTCTAATCGCAAGGGAGAAAAAGGCCCTCGCGCGCAGAGTAACGGCCACCGAACGATCGTTTCGATACCAGACTCCCTGGGCCGCAATATCCCAAGCTCCTCAGCGGCTCCCTCCGAACGACGCAAGAACCTCCCGGACTGCGCCTGCTCACAACCAGGCGGCCTGGTGAAACGAGACACGCATAACTGGCGTGTGCGCATGCCCAGTTGAGATTCCTTGCTGCGCATGTGCGCGATCTGCAGGCGGCACTAAAAAGCCTTTTTCTATTTCCGCGTGGGGGCTGGCGGTTGGGATTGGTGCTTAGCTTTATTCGGCAGGGCGATTTCTAATTCTGAACGCTATTTAGCGTGCCAGCTTTCCAAAGTCCATTTGATTCGAAGTGATGGATAGATTCCATGCATAAATCTGTCAAATTAGTCTCTCCCCATTGTAATAAAACAGTGCTGGCAGGGGCTCTGTTTCTTGAGTGGTTTAGCTGATGTATACATGGGGTCCTTGATGCTAGTGCATCATTAGTACTGATGAAGTTACTCAATTTGGATAATGAAACGTTTGCAAGAAAACCAAGCTCAAAGCATCAGGGATCCCTCATTTCAACCCTGAGCTACAAATATTCTTCTTTATTGATGTATAGGCATGCTGGTTCACCAGCGCAGGAGAAGGCCAAAGCTCGGAGTGGAGCTAATTTTCCCTTTTCAAACAGAAAGGAGTCTTTGGGCCATTAGCCATATTAAATGTGCAGTTTCTAAGTACTGCAGAAATTATTCATATTTCTAAACAGCCCATCTCTGAAAGGGGCTGCAGTATGATTTATTCATTAGGTCACTTTAAAAAAATACTGTTTCCTGCTGCTTATGTGATTTTATGTAAAATACTTGGCGAAGTCTTCTCTATTAGTCTTTTCAAATTATTGCCCATCTCTGAAAGAGGGGCTGCAGTATGATTTATTCATTAGGTCGCTTTAAAAAACGCTGTTTCCTGCTGTTTATGTGATTTTATGTAAAATACTTGGCGAAGTCTTTTCTATTAGTCTTTTCAAATTATTGTGAAATGTTCACATGAGCTTGACTGACAAGTAAATTTTAAAGAGGAAGTAATGTATACTTTTTTTGCAGAACTTAACAAAGCACTCTTTAACAGCTTGTTTAAGTACTACACCATAGCATTAAAGCAGGATTGAATATGGCGTGTATCCAGTCTTTACAATTTAGAACAGACATGTCAAATTAGCGACATCATGTGATGTCGTACAACGTAGCGGAGCTTTTTCTTCATTGCCAATGGGGTCGGCGTGGTTTTCCGGTGACGCGTCCGGCCTGTGGGCCAACAGTTTGACACCCCTGATTTAGAATAACAGAGTTGGAAGGGACCTTGTAGGTCATCTAGTCAAACCCCCTGCCCAAACAGGAGTCCCTACACCATTTCTGACAAGTGGCAGTCCGGTCTCTTCTTGAAAGCCTCCAGTGATCAAGCACCAGCAACATCTGAAGGCAGTCTGTTCCATTGGTTGATTGTTCTCATTGTCAGTCTTCTTTCAAAATGATCAAGAATAGAACAGAATAGAGCTGGAAGGGACCTTGGAGGTCTTCTAGTCCAGCCCTTTGCTCAAGCAGGAGGATCTATACCTATACTATGCATGTTCTGGAGGCTACCAGATTGCAGAAGGCTGGGCTGATATGTTCCGCAAGATCAGCTGATGAAAGTGATATGAATTCTGATTTTTCTTTCTGAATTTAGAAAAAACCCCTGACATTTTGCAAATGGATTGATAGTAGAAGACAGTACCTCACTTTTTTGTTAGATCTAATTATTGGTGGCAGAGCCAGTTTTGAGTAATGGTTAAGATATCAGGATAGAAACCAGGAGACTGGGTTCTAGTCCTGCTTTAGCCATGAAGCCAGCTGGATGTCCTTGTGCTAAGCACTCTCAACTCTAGGAAACAGGCAAGGGCAAACCACTACTGAAATCTTGTCAACAAAACCTTCAATCCAGCAGTCATCAGGAGTCACCACTAACTCGAGAAACATACCAAAAAAGTTTTAAAAAAATCATCAATATGCTGATAACTTCAACCTTGACTATTCTTTGGAAGGACAGACACTGAAACTGAAGCTCAAATACTTTGGCCACCTAATGAGAAGAGGACTTGTTGGAAAAGACCCTGATGTTGGGAAAAATTGTAGGCAAAAGAAGAAGGGGACAGCAGAGGAGGAAGTGATTAGATAGGGTTATTAATGCAGTGAACATGAATTTGGGCAAATTCAGGGAGACAGTGGAGAACGGGGTGCCTGGTATGATGTGCTATGGTCCATGAGATTGCAAAAAGTCAGACACAACTTAGTGACTGAACAATAAAATGCTGATAGCTAGATCTGTATAAAATTGCACATTAAAAGTATTTTAATATTAAATATTTTATTCACTAGAAATGCTTTCTTGATTTCCAGAGAAGTGATGCTTATATTGCTATAAAAGCAAAAAGGCTTGTGATATCTTAAGACTAGCACACTAATGTTTTAATTTTGTGAATTATGGGCCTTTCATTATAAGTTTGGACAGAAGAGGTAGGTAGGCAGGCAGGCAGGCAGGCAGGCAGACAGATATATTCTGTTCATTCACCCCCTCTCTGTGTATGTGTGTATGGAGATGAATGGACAGAAAATATGAAATAGTAAAATGACACACCAGTATTAATGACAATAAAGCTGTACTTAGATGTGATACAGACTGGCTAGGTTTGCTCAACCCATGAGTAAGGGCATCCTTGAAATGAGCTTGAGGTTTGGTGAATGCTAGAGAACTTGTACTTTTTTGGGGTCATTGTTTCAAAGATACTTCTTTACCTAAACAGAAACAGAATGACCAAGAGTGGATAATAAAGCAGTGGAACAGGAGTGACTTCCAACTTCCTGCAGACTTCCCCCATTGAATTTCCTTAGGAGAACCTGGCAGATAGCATTGGAAATCTCCTCTTTCCAGCAGGCATGTGTCTACTGCTGAGTGAGGATGGGAATGAGGGATTGCAAGACTGCCTGGGTAACTGTCATGGAACCGCAGCAACGGCAGAACTCAGGAGCGCAGCTGCACTGAAGCAGCCACAATTTCTCCAAATGTCATTCTCCCAGGAATCATGGGTCCCAGATTATGAACACATTCTATAATTTAGCCCATTTGAGGTACTTTGCTTCAAAAATTGTTGCTCTTCTGATGTACCATTTCACCCAATGATGGGTCATGACAATCAGAATTTTAGTAGTATATAGATCTGGATGCGTCCACAAAGATTTTTTTGGCAACAATATTGTAATTTGCCATTGCCTCCTGGATTGGCTTTTTAAAAAAACTTCCCAATCTACTATAGTCCTGAGAAGTCATACTATTTTTCCACCAATGCACAACATAGTCTGATCCTGCTTAGTCTCTCCCCACATCAGCTACTGTTAAAGTGCTGCCATTCCTTTGTAACATACAACTGTAGAATTTGTAGTTTGGTTTATTGTTGTAAACCCAGTCATCTTGTTTGCAGACCAAATATAAAATGTTTATTTGGATGCAGAACGCTCTGTAATATGGTGTACATTAACCTGGGATTCTGCTTTAGTAATTATGTGAATCCAACCACATTCTTGCAATGATGAGCTGATTAACATAGTGTGGTAAGAAATCTTAATCATAACTATTTGGACAGGACTGGAAGCAGGGCCTTGATCCTGGTTCAGCCTTAACCTACTTCACAGCAAAAGCACAATCGTGAATCTCAAGGAGACGCCCATTCGGGAAAGAGGATAAGTGGACGCGTAGTTTCATTTCGCAGAGGCGGCGTTTCCTTGAGAGTCACTAACCGGGATCCTTCCCCATTCACTTCCCAACTTTTAAAGCAAAAATCGCGGTCTCGATTCACAAGACTGCCTCTCAGCTCTTCTCACGCCTGCTCCCAAAGGCGGAGGCAGTGGGAACAGCCCGGCCCGTCTTCTTTGCGCGGAAAGGCCGGCTAGCCGCGTTTCCCGCCCCCTCCCTGGAATTCAGGCGGGAGAAGAGCTGAGGCGCCCGCGATGTCTGGCGCTCGGAGACGGGGCGCGGGCCACTCCCTGGCGGGCTTCAGGCGGGGCGCTGGGCAGGATGAGGCCGACGCGGCCGCCATCCCCCAGGGCTTGCTTCGGGCGGCTAGGAAGAGCGGCCAATTAAACCTGTCCGGCCGGGAGTTGACCGAAGGTGAGCAGGCCCAGGTCTCCCCTACCCTAAAGAGCGACGGTAGATTTAGCTTACGCCTCCCTAGAGAGGGACGGCCTGCGTTTCGTTCCCAAGCCGGAATGGCGGGGATTCAGCACCTCAACCTGGGGGGGGGGGAAGAAAAGGGCTTTTTCTACTCGTCTCTTCGGCTCGTTTTGCACGAGGTGGGTAGGTGGATTGCATTACTATGCATCGTTCACACCCTCTTTTGTGTGACCGGGTTTTTTTCCCCACACGCAGAAGGAAACCGTTTGCATGTATTGCATTTATGTTATTTTCTTGACTTGCTATGGTCCTATGGGTTTTGTGTGTTTCTAGTTGTTCCGGGAACCAAAAACAAAAGCCGGTGTTAGTTGACATGAATTAAAGCTCCTCCTGCAACTCTTGAGCCAGCTGCTGGGGCAATGTAAAGGCTGACGGCCTTAGTGATTTCTTGGGTAGTAGTAGTAGTAGTAGTAGTAGTAGTAGTAGTAGTAGTAGTAGTAGTAGTAGTAGTAGTAGTAGTAGTAGTAGTAGTAATATCGCCATTGACAAATTCGCTATTAGTCAATTGCAAAAGGCGGCCTTACTAGGAACTGCTTCCATCCTGCGACGATATCTGTAATACCATCAAACATCCACATTTGCCTATCCCAGGTCCTGGGTAAGGACTCGATAGGTAGACAAAATGCCAAATCCAGTCTGAACATCTGGCTGACTGTGCGATGATCCGTAATAATAATAATAATAATAATAATAATAATAATAATAACAACAACAACAACAACAACAATAATAATAATGATGATGATGATGTTGGACAGGACATTGGAGGTCATCTAGTCCAACCCCCTGCTCAGGCAGGAAACCCTATACCATTTCAGACAAATGGCTGTCCAGTCTCTTCTTAAAAACTTCCAGTGTTGGAGCATTCACCACTTCTGGAGGCAGATTGTTCCACTGGTTAATTGTTCTAACTGTCAGGAAGTTTCTCCTTAGTTCCAGGTTGCTTCTCTCCTTGATTAGTTTCCACCCATTGCTTCTGGTCCAGCCTTCAGGTGCCTTGGAAAATAGCTTGACTCCCTCTTCTTTGTGGCAGCCCCTGAGATATTGGAATACTGCTATCATGTCCCCCCTCGTCCTTCTCTTCCTTAAACTAGACATATCCAATTCCAGCAGCCTTTCCTTATATGCTTTGGCCTCCAGTCCCCTAATCATCTTTGTTGCTCTTCTCTGTACTCTTTCTAGAGTCTCAACATCTTTTTATCTTCCTGGCCTTACAAAGCAGTTTTAGAGGGCATGTCCTTGTGATTCGGCCTCTCATCCCCATCCCCATCCACCACAGAAGCAGCTTACATTGGTTTTTCCTCTATCAACTTGTCCTATGTCTCATTTATACTGAGGCAGACGTGGCTGAGATTGGCCCAGCTCCAAGTGGTTCAATTTTGGCTACCGTCAGCATTCCCCATCTCCTTTAGCCAAAGGGCACTGTCCTCTCTAGTATGGGCTGGAGGAGAATACAGCTAGTTCTCAACTTGACAACCATAATTTTCCGCCCAAAATTTCCATTGCTAAGCAAGATAGTTGTTAAGTGAGTTTTGCCCCATTTCACGATCGTTCTTGCCACAGTTGTATCATGACTCACTGTAATTCTTAATTTAGTAACATGGTTGTTAAGTGAATCTGGCTTCCCCATTGACTTTGCTTGTCAGAAGGTCGCAAAAGGTGATCACATGACCCCAGGACACTGCCATTGTCATAAATACATGCCAGTTGCCAAGCATCTGAATTTTGATCATGTGACCATGGGGATGCTTCAATGGTCGTAAGTGTGAAAAACGGTTATAAGTCACTTTTTTCACTTGCCACTGTAACTTTGAATGGTCACTAAACAAATGGTTGTAAGATGAAGATTACCTGTATGGACACTTAGATTCTACAGTCTGCATAATTCTAACCACACTCCATGGGATACTTCTAGATATTGCCAGCCACAGTCACTTGTTGCTGACACTGCTTTTGTCTTGCATTACATTGATAGGGATATTTGGGAACTGGGATGAAATTCACAAAGAGTTGTGACAGTTATTTTTTATTTCAGTAAGCATGACCAATAAATGGTAAGTTGATCAATAAATCTGTATGCAAAAATAGGTTACCTGATAGGTTGATGAAAGACAGATTAGAGGTGCCATATTTGTGCCATCACACTACATTTCCTCTGCCCCATTGATTTGTGGACTGGACTATATTTTGGCTTGTTCCAGTTCTTCTGGAAGACTTGTAGATCCCTGTTTAGAAATAGCCTGAAAATTGTCGTTGAAAAGTAAACTGCCACTTAGACAAGTTGAAAGGTAGCTAAAGCCTGCAATGAAATACTACATCTTTTAAAATTTAAGAAAATGTGTAATTCTTTTCAAAAATACACCTGTATCAAAAAATCCACTAATTTATTCCAAAATCAGTATTTGCTTTAGAAGAATAATACCAATAGTGGAAGATGAATGTTACTAAATGTTACTAAATGATTTTTTTCATATGGATATGTCCTATTTTTATATGCAGTACCTCTACATGTTTGGCGAATAAATTTGGATACTCCAGAAGAGGCCCACCAAAATGTATCTTTCAGTGCTGCCGATCGCTGGTGGGAGCAAACTGATCTCAACAAACTGATTTTATCTTCTAACAAACTGCAGTGTCTTTCTGATGATGTCAAACTCTTACCCGCCCTCACTGTGCTTGATGTGAGTAAAATAACGGATGAATGACTGTTACCTTTATGTTACTAATCTTGCATTGATTACTTTTGGGGGAAAACATCTTCTGGTCTGTAAACTGTAACAGTTTTGTTGAATGATGTATTTTTGAGGAGCATATAAAAATCTCTCTATTGATTTCCCCCCCCTTCCTCCCTCTCTTGCACACATTCATACACTTCTATATAGAATAAAGGGTAGAGAGGTTTTCTTGAACAGAGTAATCCCAGTTCAAACCCTTGTCCAATTTGTTACCTAATCTTAAATCACTGATTTCATTCACAGAATGTTGTGAAGTTAGAATGAATGTTGGCTTCTGACTGAGGAATCCTTAGCCTGTTGCCTTGTGTAATACAGTTGTCTCCCCCCCCCCTTCATATTGAGGAACCTTTGATATCTGAAATAAAAATGTTTCTGTATTTTAAAACTCTATTAAATACAATTCTTGGAAAAGGCTTTGCATCATATTTCCATTGCTAGTTTTTTTTAGAAACTTGACTCTATCGCAAACAAGCAAGCAAGAACTTTATTGTAATAGCCTTAAGTCAAACATGCAAACCATCCCTATGAAAACTCTTCTCATATGAAAACTCTTCTCAGTGTGAAGATGGTTTTTCTTCCTTACCTTTCATTCTTCTTCTTCCTCCCCCTCCCGCACCCATCATTTGTCTTCATGATGAAAGGGCAAAAATAAAAAGCACAAATTGTGTAGTTTAGTGCAGATTGTAATTTTCAAAGTCTACCTTTTGGCACATTTGAGCATTTAATACACCATATTTTAGCAAAATAGATGTTATAACAATTGCTTATTACTTTTAGGTGCATGATAATCAACTCACGTCTCTCCCTGCTGCTGTAGGATCACTAGAAAATCTTCAGAAACTTAATGTGAGGTAAACACATTCTATAAATGAAATAATAATAGTCATGAAATAGAGTCTTTTGAAATATAGGTCTTAATAACTATATTCAGAAGTATTTGCAAGCCATAGTGTTTTTTCTATGGACAGGATGTTTTAAATTATAAAAGTATATTTGGGAAGAGAAATAAGTTACATTTATTTTGTATAGACAAAAATCTGGTTTATCAAATTGGTCATATGTTTTGTTCTGCATAAAACAAATCTTTAAGCTCAAAACTATGGCTTCCTCAAGTCCACCTCAGCTTCTGGTGATCACAAGAACAAAATAAGAAAGAAGTGCATTTTTTTACCTTTCCAGTTTAGTCACAGCCCTGGAATTTCCTGATTTCCATTCTAGTACTAACCTGACTAGCAGACTAGTACTAGCATCCAGGATACCTAATATCCTGTATGTACAGTATCTCTTCCCCTTCTTTGTACCATCTGTTCCAGCACGGTAAGGAATGTTGACTGACAGGCAAGAGAGAAGAGAGCCTTTTCTGTTCTCTGGAATACAATCCTTCCAGAGATCTGATTGGCCTGTTGGCCTTCCATAAGCAGACAGTTAGCAGACAGACCAATCGTATACAAATGCAGCCTTTCACAATTCCTATTTTATCAATAGTCATAATAAACTGAAAAAGATACCAGAAGAACTTACTCAGCTAAAACACTTGAAGAGTCTGCTTCTGCAGCACAATGAATTGTATCACTTGCCTGATGAATTTGGACAGCTTGTCAGTTTGGAAGAGTTGGTAAGTAGAAGCTTATGGCTTTATGACTTTCTGGTTGTGGTTGTGGTTGCTACTGTACACTAAGTACAGTACATTTCTTGGTTTTGAAGTAGGCGACCCCCAAGTACAGGCAGTCCTTGACTTACAACCATTCATTTAGTGACTGTTCATAATTAACAATGGCACTGAAAAAAATGACGTAGGACTGTTTTTCACACTTAGGATCGTTGCAGCATCCCCATGGTCACATGATCAAAATTTGAACGCTTGGAAACTGGCATGTATTTGTGATGGTTGCAGTGTTGCAGAGTCAAGCGATCACCTTTTGCCATCTTTTGCAAAGTCAGTGGGGAAGCCAGATTTCATTTCACAACCATGTTACCTAACTTAACTGCAGTGATTCACTTAATAACCGTGGCAAGAAAGGTCGTCATATGGGGTAAAATTCACTGAACTGTCTCACTTAGCAGCACAAAGTTTGGGCTCAATTATGGCCGTAAGTCGAGGACTACTTGTAAAGGGAGAAAAAAGTTTCGTTTCTGTTTCCCAAAATTTCCCTAAGAATGAGATACCCCCTGTAATAGTGCAAGAGAAAGCAGTGGAAGTTGTAAGAAGACAAGTCAACAATCCCCATGTTGTTTCTCCTGGGCTGCATACAAGTTTATATTATTATGGCTGGTTGCACAGTCAGCCAGATGTTTAAGCTGGATTTGGCCTTTGGCATTTTTTATCAATCTATCAAGTCCTTCCCGAAGACCTGGGATAGGCATATGTTCTGGTTTCATCATGTTAAACATGTTGTCATAAATGCAAGCTGTTCCAAGTAAAGCTGCCTTTTTGCAAGTGACTGATGGTGTTTTGTCTATTATTATTATGGTTCATCACACAATCAGCCAGATGTTTAGAAGGGATTTGCATTTTTATCCACTTATAGAATTTTTCCTCAAGGATCTAGGATTGCAAACGTTTTTGTTTGATGGTATGAAAGGTATTGTTGTAGAATATAAATTTAATTATTATCCACTGGCTCTTGGTCATCGTAAATGGAAGAATTAGCTACACAACGTTATTGGGGAGTTTGGGTGGCATAGAATGAATGCAGGATACATCAATTTCCTTTTTGTCTTGAGAACAGAGAAGGAATATGGCTTTAGTGGAGGAGGTTCAAACATCAAATTCCTCTGCAGTGATAATCTTCACATGATGTACCTTCTCCAGCATTGAGTTTCAGCTAGATACAGTATCTAGTAGCTCAGAGAAGGTTTGCAAACGTGTTCTCCAGTCACGCTCACTAAACACACAAAGGTAAAAATGACCTTTCATGGTGGAAATGAAATGAAAGGAACCAATTTGCTTCTGTCTGGCTCATCAATCGAATAGGTAGGATATGCCAAAGCTTTGATGTTGGAACTCGAAGTGGAAGGTAGAATTATGCTAACCAATTTGTTTTCAGCTAACCCAGATCCAAGTTTCTTAAATAGGTTAATAAACATGGTTTTCTTTCCTTTCTTTCTTTAGGATATCTCTAATAACCACATCCCTGGTATCCCAACAAGTTTTGCTTTCCTTATAAACTTGGTGCGTCTCAATTTAGCTTCTAATCAATTAAGGAATCTACCCACAGAAATCAGTGCAATGAAAAGTAAGGGACTAATTGAGTTAATCATTGCTTTATTTTGAGTTAATCATTGCTTTATTTTTCCTTTTCTAAAAGAGGTTATTCTGAAACATTATTGTCAGCAATATTTTTTCTTTAATTTTTGTTTTCATGTAAGTGAAAAAATGGTATGCTAATTTTAAATAAACTATTAGACTAAATCTATCTGCCTCCAGTAGCTGTGAATGCTCTAACACTGGAAGTTTTTAAGAAGAGACTGGACAGCCATTGGTCTGAAACGGTATAGGGTTTCCTGTCTGAGCAGGGGGTTGGACTAGATGTCCTCCAAGGTCCCTTCCAACTTTTTTTTTTATTATTGTTGTTGTAGTTGTCGTTGTCTAGGCAGGCGAGCAAAGTGTACTTCTATCTAGTTATTAGTAGGACTCTGCATGCATACTAGCTCTGGGTGTAGAAATTATTTACCATAAACTCTACTGCACACTTTCTTACTAGTTTATACTGTAGAGAAATGGAAGTAGTATGTTTTTTCAAATCCTCGCTAACATTTTTTTAATGGATTGCCTTTGTTTTTATTCTGAAATACCATTTATGATTTTTCTAAACTGCATTGGGATTGTATAACGGTATGTGGGAATGATCTCGAGGGACAAAGTGAAGAGATGCTGCAGAGAAAACAACCAGAGGGAGGCGCCCAAAAGTGCTTAGTGGTCAGAGAAAGAAATTTAGGTATGACCTGCTCTAATTGATCAGGCTGTTAAAATCAATAGTAGGAGATTAGTATGATTAAACTTGCAGGATTCTGTTAATGTAGCCTTCCAATAAAGTAAAATTAGCTTATCTGTTTGTGTTTCCTGTTTGGTTTACCTGGATGGCTGACAAATTGTTTGCTTTTAAGAACACCTTTAGAATAACTAGAAAGAAAAGCTTGAATTTTAAAAAGTGTTCTGAGTTCTGCTTACACAACATTTCATTGCAGTTTATGAAAATCATTTGTAACAACATGTGTTGTTGACATAACTATGTAAATGGAAATACTTTATGCATACAGGTAGTCCTTATTGACCACAATTTTCATCATTAAGCCACACAGTCATAATATGAACATCATGTGACTGTGGTCAGGAAATAAATCAGCCATGGTAGTTAAGCACACATCACATGATCATGACTTGTGCTCTCCTGCCAGCTTCCCTGTTCACTTGGCTGGTCAGAAGTTGGGTGTGCAGGTCACAAACGGAGATCATGTGACTGTTGGAATCTCTGACTGTCATAACGTCACACTGGTTGCCAAGCGCCAGGATCATGATCATGTGACTGGAGATGTTGCAGCAGCCACAAGAGCAAAGGCTGGTCATAAACCTCCCTTTTCTGTAATATTGTAACTTTGAACATTTGCTGATTGAGCATTCGGTAAATGAGGACTACCCACATAACATAGATGAAATATTTTTAATAATTTTGTATAGATGCTGATATAAATCATGCTGATTCCCAACATTATTTCTATAACCTTGCATTTTCCACTCTTACTGAAGAAGCCAAGTTGGTAACATGCCATACATATACTTGAGAATTTCTTCTTATTGATCTTTGTTAAATTAAACATGGATACGCTTTCTAGAGGTAGCATATTGAAAACCTGTATGGTTGTGATCTTTAATAAGCTATCAGAATAGAATAGAATAGAATAGAATAGAATATCTTTATTGTCATTGTGCATCTCACAACAAAATTTAAGTGTTGTCCACAGTGCACACTACACACAAGTAAGAACCACAAGTTCTTATTTTGGTACTGATTATTTTGGTACTGATGATATAACTTATTTCTTCATTTGCTCTGTTCCTCTAGGTTTAAAACAGCTTGATTGCACTAAGAACTTCCTGGAAACTATACCTCCTGAACTGGGCAGTATGGTTTCATTAGAACAACTTTATCTAAGGAGAAATAAGTTGTGCTACCTGCCAGATTTTCATTCATGTACATATTTAAAGGTAGGATTTGTTTTCTTTAGCAGATAATTGAGATGTNGGCTTGCTTCGGGCGGCTAGGAAGAGCGGCCAATTAAACCTGTCCGGCCGGGAGTTGACCGAAGGTGAGCAGGCCCAGGTCTCCCCTACCCTAAAGAGCGACGGTAGATTTAGCTTACGCCTCCCTAGAGAGGGACGGCCTGCGTTTCGTTCCCAAGCCGGAATGGCGGGGATTCAGCACCTCAACCTGGGGGGGGGGGGGAAGAAAAGGGCTTTTTCTACTCGTCTCTTCGGCTCGTTTTGCACGAGGTGGGTAGGTGGATTGCATTACTATGCATCGTTCACCCCCTCTTTTGTGTGACCGGGTTTTTTTCCCCACACTCAGAAGGAAACCGTTTGCATGTATTGCATTTATGTTATTTTCTTGACTTGCTATGGTCCTGTGGGTTTTGTGTGTTTCTAGTTGTTCCGGAACCAAAAACAAAAGCCGGTGTTAGTTGACATGAATTAAAGCTCCTCCTGCAACTCTTGAGCCAGCTGCTGGGGCAATGTAAAGGCTGACGGCCTTAGTGATTTCTTGGGGGGTAGTAGTAGTAGTAGTAGTAGTAGTAGTAGTAGTAGTAGTAGTAGTAGTAGTAGTAGTAGTAGTAGTAATAATAATAATAATGTTGGACGGGACCTTGGAGGTCATCTAGTCCAACCCCCTGCTCAGGCAGGAGCCCTACACCATTTCAGACAAATGGCTGTCCAGTCTCTTCTTAAAAACTTCCAGTGTTGGAGCATTCACAGCTTCTGGAGGCAGATTGTTCCACTGGTTAATTGTTCTAACTGTCAGGAAGTTTCTCCTTAGTTCCAGGTTGCTTCTCTCCTTGCTTAGTTTCCACCCGATGCTTCTTGTCCTGCCCTCAGGCGCCTTGGAAAATAGCTTGACTCCCTCTTCTTTGTGGCAGCCCCTGAGATATTGGAACACTGCTATCATGTCCCCCCTCGTCCTTCTCTTCATTAAACTAGACATCCCCAATTCCAGCAACCGTTCCTTATATGTTTTAGCCTCCAGTCCCCTAATCATCTTTGTTGCTCTTCTCTGTACTCTTTCTAAAGTCTCAACATATTTTTATCTTCCTGGCCTTACAAAGCAGTTTTAGAGGGCATGTCCTTGTGATTCGGCCTCTCATCCCCATCCACCACAGAAGCAGCTTACATTGGTTTTTCCTCTATCAACTTGTCCTATGTCTCATTTATACTGAGGCAGACATGGCTGAGATTGGCCCAGCTCCAAGTGGTTCAATTTTGGCTACCGTCAGCATTCCCCATCTCCTTTAGCCAAAGGGCACTGTCCTCTCTAGTATGGGCCGGAGGAGAATACAGCTAGTCCTCAACTTGACAACCACAATTTTCCGCCCAAAATTCCCATTGCTAAGCAAGATAGTTGTTAAGTGAGTTTTGCCCCATTTCACGACCTTTCTTGCCACAGTTGTATCATGACTCACTGTAATTCTTAATTTAGTAACATGGTTAAGTGAATCTGGCTTCCCCATTGACTTTGCTTGTCAGAAGGTCGCAAAAGGTGATCACATGACCCCAGGACACTGCCATTGTCATAAATACATGCCAGTTGCCAAGCATCTGAATTTTGATCATGTGACCATGGGGATGCTTCAATGGTCGTAAGTGTGAAAAACTGTTATAAGTCACTTTTTTCACTTGCCACTGTAACTTTGAATGGTCACTAAACCAGTGTTTCTCAACCTTGACAATTTTAAGGCATGTGGACTTCAACTCCCAGAATTCCACAGCCAGCAATGCTGGCTGTGGAATTCTGGGAGTTGAAGTCCACATGCCTTAAAATTGTCAAGGTTGAGAAACACTGCACTAAACAAATGGTTGTAAGATGAAGATTACCTGTATGGACACTTAGATTCTACAGTCTGCATAATTCTAACCACACTCCATGGGATACTTCTAGATATTGCCAGCCACAGTCACTTGTTACTGACACTGCTTTTGTCTTGCATTACATTGATAGGGATATTTGGGAACTGGGATGAAATTCACAAAGAGTTGTGACAGTTATTTTTTATTTCAGTGAGCATGACCAGTAAATGGTAAGTTGATCAATAAATCTGTATGCAAAAATAGGTTACCTGATAGGTTGATGAAAGACAGATTAGAGGTGCCATTTTAGTGCCATCACACTACATTTCCTCTGCCCCATTGATTTGTGGACTGGACTATATTTTGGCTTGTTCCAGTTCTTCTGGAAGACTTGTATATCCCTGTTTAGAAATAGCCTGAAAATTGTCGTTGAAAAGTAAACTGCCACTTAGACAAGTTGACAAGTTGAAAGGTAGCTAAAGCCTGCAATGAAATACTACATCTTTTAAAATTTAAGAAAATGTGTAATTCTTTTCAGAAATACACCTGTATACAAAATCCACTAATTTTTTCCAAAATCAGTATTCGATTTAGAAGAATAATACCAATAGTGGAAGATGAATGTTACTAAATGTTACTAAATGATTTTTTTCATATGGATATGACCTATTTTTATATGCAGTACCTCTACATGTATGGCGAATAAATTTGGATACTCCAGAAGAGGCCCACCAAAATGTATCTTTCAGTGCTGCCGATCGCTGGTGGGAGCAAACTGATCTCAACAAATTGATTTTATCTTCTAACAAACTGCAGTGTCTTTCTGATGATGTCAAACTCTTACCTGCTCTCACTGTGCTTGATGTGAGTAAAATAATGGATGAATGACTGTTACCTTTATGTTACTAATCTTGCATTGATTACTTTTGGGGGAAAACATCTTCTGGTCTGTAAACTGTAACAGTTTTGTTGAATGATGTATTTTTGAGGAGCATATAAAAATCTCTCTATTGATTCCCCCCCTTCCTCCCTCTCTTGCACACATTCATACACTTCTATATAGAATAAAGGGTAGAGAGCTTTTTTTGAACAGAGTAATCCCAGTTCAAACCCTTGTCCAATTTGTTACCTAATCTTAAATCACTGATTTCATTCACAGAATGTTGTGAAGTTAGAATGAATGTTGGCTTCTGACTGAGGAATCCTTAGCCTGTTGCCTTGTGTAATACAGTTGTCTTCCCCCCCCTCATATTGAGGAACCTTTGATATCTGAAATAAAAATGTTTCTGTATTTTAAAACTCTATTAAATACAATTCTTGGAAAAGGCTTTGCATCATATTTCCATTGCTAGTTTTTTTTAGAAACTTGACTCTATCGCAAACAAGCAAGCAAGAACTTTATTGTAATAGTCTTAAGTCAAACATGCAAACCATCCTTATGAAAACTCTTCTCAGTGTGAAGATGTTTTTTCTTCCTTACCTTTCATTCTTCTTCTTCCTCCCCCTCCCGCACCCATCATTTGTCTTCATGATGAAAGGGCAAAAATAAAAAGCACAAATTGTGTAGTTTAGTGCAGATTGTAATTTTCAAAGTCTACCTTTTGGCACATTTGAGCATTTAATACACCATATTTTAGCAAAATAGATGTTATAACAATTGCTTATTACTTTTAGGTGCATGATAATCAACTCACGTCTCTCCCTGCTGCTGTAGGATCACTAGAAAATCTTCAGAAACTTAATGTGAGGTAAACACATTCTATAAATGAAATAATAATATTCATGAAATAGAGTCTTTTGAAATATAGGTCTTAATAACTATATTCAGAAGTATTTGCAAGCCATAGTGTTTTTTCTATGGACAGGATGTTTTAAATTATAAAGGTATATTTGGGAAGAGAAATACCGTATATACTCGAGTATAAGCCGAGTTTTTCAGCCCATTTTTTGAGCTGAAAAATGCCCCCCTCAGCTTATACTCGAGTCAATATTTTTCCCCAGTTCTTTATGGACTTACAATATCCGAGCACCGTTTAAAGAGACGCCGAAGGCAGACGGTGCCCAACTGCGTGCCTTTCCCCCTTGGCGGGGTGGTCTTTTGCAAAGTCTTTTGCTCGGATATTGTAAGTCCACAGCAGTGCGGGCGGCAGCAGCAGCGGCGCCGTCTCCCGCTCCGAATCCCAGGCTGGAGTCAAGCCCTTTTCAAAAGCACCGGCTCGGGAGCGAAAGCAAAAGGGGCAGGGGAGTGGGGCTTCGTTCACGCGCGGATCCCCTACGAAAAAAAAACCCCAAGCTGATGTCTCTCCCTTAGAATAAATGCCAACAGCAAGCACGAATGACCGGCAACTTCCCCGCCCTTTTTTTCTCCCCGTTTTCCTTTAAAACACAAAAACACACACACGCACACAAA